CGGGAGATCACTTCGCCCACTGCCTCATCGCCTTTGAAAATGTCCACCGCAGTTGTGGACGAAACGTCAGGAAGAAATTCCGATAGACCACGGCTCCAAAGCCCGGAAAACATTCCTAAATGTAATTTAACCGGCCGTGAAAGCCTTCGTAGTTACTTGTATTAGTCATATAATGAGACTGAAACGGTATTTGGCTGATTGAACATCAGCAAGATACTCTTCATTGGTAATGAATTAATTACATCCTAATTGCATGTGCATTGTCTTGAATCCTCTTCTGTCAATCAGGCATAGATGATGAATTCATGTGTAGACTTTCCCGATAATACACGCAACACGTGCTAGTTTTTTTCACCTCGAGTAATTTGAATGGATTCGACGATAATTCGGTACGCATTACATTCGCTGGAACAATTTTGAGATAAAATTGACGTTTTGATATCTAATAAAAAGGAAAAAGTAATCAGGTAAAAGCTTTGGCTTCTGGTTTAACTCCAAGCAGGTTTCAAATAAAATATAGAGCTGGATTCGTATTTAATAGCGAAAGCAGCAAAGGGAATCGCGTCCACTGGATTCCAGCGGATCAACGACGAAAGCAGATAAACGTTTCGGGATTGGCCAGCCCATTCTGGACGGGATTATCTCTGGACTCTATAGAATACGCTTGTTAAAGCTGATATATTCATTAGGAGTATGTCAAATATGTCGGATTTGGATTACAAGTTCGGCCGCAAAATAGGCTCGGTATCGAAGCGCAGGTAATTGTTTTGCCATGAACAATACTTTCTTCAGAGCGATCACTCATATGGCTTTAATCGCCCATCAAATTTTACAACGTCAGAGCAGGTCCTTCCTATCACAATTGAACGTTTTTGAGAAAGTTTCTAAAGTTACTCTTTTGTTGCAGGAAAATCCATACCAGTCCATTGCATAGTAGAAGCAATATCAGTTTTAGAAGACAACCGATTCCAACATGGTGTTTGGAGGCGTAGGCCCATGGTGGAAACAGACACCTACGTTATCATACCAATTGGTACTCCATTCCATAATCTGGTCCAAGCGGCCTTGTTTCGGCTCGGATACTCCTCAGAAAGTGCTGCAGCCGCTAAAGGATCAGTGCTGATCAAGAATTGGAAACCGCTGAATTTTGATCAGATATCCGACGATCCGTTAGTGACGGTTGGTGATATTTTGAGCGAACTTTCAACTGTGGCCACATTAAGAATTCAGGTCTTCCGAGGTAAACCCGGCTCGCTCAATGATGTCAAGGATAAGCTTTTACGATATCTGCTGCTCCAATCGCACGGCATGCTGCTGTCTTCAGGTTGTCCACTCGATGAGGTAAGTTTGACTTTGCCTCAACCAGACTTTGAATCAACTTCTTGATGTTTGCTTACTGGAGAACTAATGCCAGGTCCAGTAAGAGCCATCAATAATAAATGAATCCTTTATATATTATAACCGCTAAAATGCCCAATTAATCCGCAAAGGCCTCAGGTCTAAATTCATTTAAAATTAAGCGGTGGCTTTTTTGGAAAAAATGGACTCGTACCAGTCAATTTTATTTATTGATTTTTTTAAATTCATTTATACCGGGTGGTCCAAAAATAAGTTACCATCAGCAACTATCTTTTCAAATCGAAGCCCTTGCTTTTTGTTTAAATTTTGAGTTCTCCATTGAATTTTAGGTATGATTCAGGTAACATGCGCTATGCTGAAACTCAACAGGACTCCAGTAACTTACGAGGCAAATTAAATGATTTATCAAAAGATTCCTCAAAAAGGAATCGTATCCAGAGCGATAAGTCAAAGTTCAAGAGATATCTGCACATAAAAATAAAAATTTAGGGGTCCCATTTTTTTCCAACCGCTTAACTTTAAATGACTAGACATTGCTGGGACTCACTGTATATGTACATGGCGCTAAAAGTTTTAAAATATTCACAAACAAAAATGTCTGAATAAATCAAGTATTTCCTAATTTTTGCAAAGCTTTCGATTAACTGGTCGAAATGGATTTAATCCGACGAGTTAAGTGCCCATTTTCATTGGAAATGGTTTTAATTAAACTTTATTGAAGAAAGTGAAACTATTGATAAATTTCTGAAGAAAGTTTGCAATGCGGCCATCAATCTTATTAACCGATTTTTTCAAAGGCAATTGCCTCAATATGCAATGGATCTAAACATCGACCTTTGTACAAGTTAATATAAGTTTCATACGGTATTTCCGTTCCTTGACAGCTTAAGATAAGCTGCCATACAAACGGAATAAAGCTCCGAGTTAACTTAAGCTGATTGAAGATTTGCAGCTTACCTATAAATAAAAACGCGGATTTCCGGCTATAGTGAACGTTTTATCTTACATCTATTTTATACGCAGCTAATAAGCAGCATCGTTTCTTGCTGGCCTTATCCTGATTTTAAATGAATAACTCAGTAACGTTGCCAAAAAAAATATTCTCGTCAGTGTCGGAGAAGGAAAATTCCTTAAAGAAAATGACAATTAAAATAATTTAATTAACTAAGTTAAAATGCGGTGATTTCCTTTCCTTTCTAAACTTCACAATGTGAATCGGTTATATCCTTTAGTGCTTCTTCGTTAGCGCATATTGTAGAGTAAATAATGTACGCACAGGGGACACTTCAAACACAGTCTAAAATTTCGTTAATGATGAAGGGTGGATTATAATAATTCAGCGAAATTCTCAGTGTTTTCCAAATAACTTAAAACGCAACCAGTTGACGAGGGCTTATAAATCATAACATTTCCACGCTGTTCATTTTAATGTAGCTGAACCTTAGATAAAGCCGACTCTGGCAAAGCGCTTTAATCCCTACATACAAGCCATGGGCGCAGAGCATTATCTATCCAGATTGTTCAGTTCACTTAATGGATGAAATCACAAAGTGCGTGCATTGTAAGGCATTTATATATTTTTTTAATATGATGAGTGATAATTAGATATTTTTCAAACCTCAGTGACTTGCAAGTATTCATAGTATTAAGAAAATCGCAATTAATATTAAGTCTGACGTTTCGTGAATACACTTTTTGTCGAAGTACTTGATGGTACGTGTTCTCGTAATCCTGTTGCTTAACAATATTAGTATGTATTTATGACCATTTAATAATACAAATATGATGCTTAACTCATCTAGTTCTATGATATGATCTACTAATGCGAATAAGCAGCATACGGAACGGTGAAACCGATGGTATTAAACAAATTAATCTTAATTGGCTCTAAAAGCCGCCAGGCGAGAACACCTTACTGGCATAAATAATAGATATGTATATGTATATTATTGATATTTTCATAAATTTTGGTATTAAGTCAACATCATTTCACGTTCAAAGTGACACTAATTGACTAAAACACCAATCAGGAGGCGCTTTGAAATATTTAATTGTACCAAATTAGTAGCTCATTATTAAGCCAAATATTTTGATGAACTTTCCTAAACTTAAGTACGTTTAGAATGAAATGATTATTTCCAGTGTGGCAAAAAACATTAGTTGTTAAGTAGAGTGGTATTTGCATTTAATTCGCAATGTTACAAAAAGTGGTTTGTTTATCATCGAAAATGCCAACAAGATTTTTGATGCTAATCCGCAACTGAAAGCTAAATCCTTAAAAAAGCAGCACTTACACAGCTTACTGTCGTCTAGTTACCAGTGCCGTTCATAATAAATTTGCGTTAAAACTGTGTAAAACATCATTGAGTACTAAGGACGCATGTAACCTCGTGGAAGTATATTTTTAGGGAATTCAATGCTAATAGAATTTTTATTCTTAAAAAAAAGGACAGGTACGGGAACATTTAGGGCTTGTTGGGGGAAAATGTTGAATTCCTGCCCTGAATGTAACAAGGTTATGAATTACATCTTAAGAATTAAACGGCAACGAATGTATTAAGGGTGCAGAGAATGGCAGTAACCTCGCTTTTAATAAGATTATGTAGCATTATTTCATGGAATTAATAAGATCAAAATCCTTCTACACAGCACAGAGCACGGCAGCTTGATCTCCGAAACCCTACCTCGCGATTAAAACGTCGTTTATTCTGTTTTTCAATCGTGAGAATAAAACAAGAAAATATATAAGGAAACTCCTGCTATTCGAGAAGGGGTATTATGAGTTAAAGGCGGCTTTGGCAGGATTATCATTCCTGATAATTTTCTAATGGAACTCGCTGCCTAGACTATAATGGAGCAGGCGGGTTTGTTACAATATGTATTTTTTGCTTGCAGATGATTCTCTCTCAGATCTGCCGAAGTAATTTATCGTCATCGAACTATCCAGAAATATCCGAAGAAATCAGACGAAAATTTGATCTTTGGTGGTCAACGCAATTCAATTCGCAAATGCCACCCAGCAGATCACAGTTTATCTCATCATATCCAAGCCAGTATTCGGTACCACCACAACCAACTCCGCCCATGGATCGGCCAATCTCTGACTCCCATCCCGCTATGCAAACAGTGCATAATCATTTTCCAACTCAAAAAACGCGGATGCGAACCAGCTTTGATCCCGAGTTAGAGCTTCCGAAGTTACAACGCTGGTTTAACGAAAATCAACATCCGAGTCGCCAGCAAATTCAACAGTACGTCAAGGAGCTCAACAATTTGGAGTCGAGAAGAGGCAGAAAACCTTTAGACATCAACAATGTGGTGTATTGGTTCAAAAATGCTCGCGCTGCCCAAAAGAGAGCAGAAGTCCGAAACATCAATCCCAATTTGCATTTATCGGTCAACGGATTTACAAGTCCCAGTCCCACAAATGGAGGATTTCTGCTTGGAGATAGTTATCTCAACTCCGAACGGCTCACCGACCCAAGAATGAAAAACATGCCCAGGCGCGCTCCACACAATTCCCACACTTCCGATGAGTTCTCCAATGTTGGCTCTGATATGGAAGATGACGAATTAGGCGAAGATCAATCTCCCAGCCCCTTAGTTCCGCTTTCACTGACCACGAGCAGAAAATCGGAATCTAGGGGGGCCAGCCCGAAGAATGTGGCATCACCATCTCCAGCTCCAGATATTCAAGTAGGTAAATGACCGTAAAGCTCGGGTAGCATTTGACTCTTTTTATCAAAAACTTTTTCGACTTGAAAATTAGCATGGCACCAATTAGTCAATTCAATAACGATTTACTCGATTTTCCACAAACAATCAATCATTTGCTGCCCTAGCTGCTAACTGACATCAATTACTTTATAATTGACTTCTTCTGTCTCACCAAGGCCCCAACAATTCTCAATATTAAGTTGAACACTTTTAAGTTGCTCGGCGTTTCGCAAACACGAGTGGCGTTCATCTTCAAACGTAATTACTGAGTGGAGCAAACCACCTCAGAAGATGCGATACAAACGAAAGTTGGCTCTATTTTCCTCCACAACAATCACTTGTCCGTATCAAACTCGGTTCCACGTAATAAAGTTTTATATAACGGTGGAAATTATGCCGCAAAAGTAATTGCAAGTATCAATAAGTTTCAAAATTTGGTCCAAACCTTCAAGGAAGCGAAACTGTGAAAATACATAAACTAAGATATGCACTTTTTTGCCTCAAAAAATGCTTACTTATATCAACTGGTTTCGACGGAATAAATTTGGCGGAAACACTGAGAGTAAATTTTGTAGCAACCGTCATTGCAAGTCTCAATTTGGATTCTTCTAAAAAATCAGCGCAAAACTGGAATAAAATCAAATTCTTCGCAAAAATAAAATAAAGTTTCCTCTATCTCCGTGCGCAAAAAGAGCTTTTCGATATCAACTAGTTTCGACAAAATTTATTTTTGAATAACGGCGGATAAGTTAAATCGCTAAGTCATTACAACTCTCCCTGTGAATAAATTTCAAAAATCAGCCCGAACCTCCAAGGAAGCAAAACTTTGACAAAAGATACAGTAAAGATTTTCTTCCGCCAAAAACGATTTTTCATACCAACTCGTTTCGATGGAATAAATTTTTTAAACGCTGAGGATAAATTCAGTCGCAATCGTCATTGCAAGTCTCACTTTGAATATTTCTGAAATATCAGCGCAAATCTGGAATAAAATCAAATTTTTTGCAAGCATAAAATAAAGTTTGCTCTATCTCCGTGTGCAAAAAGCGCTTTTCGATATCAACTAGTTTCGACAAAATTTATTTTTGAATAACGGCGGATAAATTAAATCGCTAAGTCATTACAACTCTCCCTGTGGATAAATTTCAAAAATCCGTCCGAACATCCAAGATAGCGAAACTTTGACAAAGCATACAGTAAAGATTGTTCTATTTTCTTCTGTCAAAAACGATTTTTTATGCCAACTCGTTTCGATGTAATAATTTTTTTAAACGCTGAGGATAAATTTAGTCGCAACCGCCATTGCAAGTCCCACTTTGAATATTTCTCAAATATCAGCGCAAATCTGGAATAAAATCAAATTCTTCGCAAACATAAAATAAAGTTTCCTCTATCTCCGTGCGCAAAAAGAGCTTTTCGATATCAACTAGTGTCGACAAAATTTATTTTTGAATAACGGCGGATAAGTTAAATCGCTAAGTCATTACAACTCTCCCTGTGGATAAATTTCAAAAATCAGCCCGAACCTCCAAGGAAGCGAAACTTTGACAAACCATACAATAAAAATTGTTCTATTTTCTTCCGCCAAAAACGATTTTTCATACCAATTCGTTTCGATGGAATACATTTTTTAAACGCTGAGGATACATTTAGTCGCAACCGTCATTGCAAGTTTCACTTTGAATATTTCTCAAATATCAGCGCAAAACTGGAATAAAATCAAATTTTTCGCAAGCATAAAATAAAGTTTCTTGTATCTCCGTGCGCAAAAAGCACTTTTCGATATCAACTAGTTTCGACAAAATTAATTTTTGAATAACGGTGGGTATGTTAGTCGTCGTGGTTACATTATGTTAGTGTAAAGTCGTTGCACCTCTTCCTGTGAATAATTTTCAAAAATCAGCCCGAACCTCCAAGGAAGTGAAACTTTGACCAAACATACAGTAAACATTGTTCTATTTTCTGCAGCCAAAAACGCTTATTCATACCAACTTGTTTCCAAGGAATAAATTTTTGAAACACTGAAGGTAAATTTTGTCGCTCAAGTCATTGTATAGAACGAAATTTTGAGGAAACATAAAGTGAAGTTTGCTCTATTTTCCTCCGTAGAAAACGCTTCCGAAACGACAATCGCTAAAAAACTAACAAACTTTTAAAGTAAATTGACCTCTAAAGAAAAACTTCGTTTTCAGATTGAAAATTGCGAAGAAGAACCCAAAGACGAACCGGTCAACTATTCATCGGGCGACCATATCAATAACAACAAAGTGATATACAAAGATGAAGCTGATCGTGAAACTGAAGATGAAAGTAAGAGTCATTACGATGACACAACCTCCCCTAGTAGGTCGATTTCGCATCGTTTGTCTCCTGAAATGAGCAATCAATTAATCCCGAGGAACCATGAGAACCTCGAGCAGCTTGCTGCTTCGGGTTTTCCTTTGGTTCCCAATACAATGTTCAGTCATAACATAATGTACATGAGCCAGTATATACCTAGTCTTGCACATTCAGTACCTTCAAGTTGTTCTAGCGCCTTAAATATGTCGAGTTTAACTGTGGATGAACGGCGTAAACGAAACAGGACTTTCATAGATCCAGTAACGGAGGTACCACGTTTAGAGCAATGGTTTTCATTAAATACTCATCCTTCGCATAACTTAATTATTAAATATACCGATGAGTTAAATTGTATGGCTTATCGGCAAAAATTTCCACGATTGGAACCGAAGAATGTACAGTTTTGGTTTAAGAATAGGAGAGCTAAATGCAAAAGACTAAAGATGTCATTATATGACACTCCTTCTGGTCAGTATCATCATAGTGATCGAGATTAAATAGTGGTTGATTGTGGTACTTGAATTTTTTTACTTACAAGTGGTTTGCAAGCATTGGGATTTTTACCCCAAATTATTTATTTTTCAACGCTTTTCCTGTCAGCTTCTTTGGTTCAATGCTTGTCAAATTACACCGATCGAATCGTGATTTTTACCAAATATTTTAATGTGGTAATATTAAGACAATAATTTATACTTGATTTGTTTGAGTTTAGCTTCCTCACCTTATATTTATGAAGGCAATGAAGTACAAATGATGCTTTTGCGTGTGCCTTCCTTCGTTCATATATCGAAAGCAATAGTCTTGCAGAGAAAATCAGTTTTAACTTCGCATTTAGGGAAAAAAACTTCGGATTAATTTGTTGGGCACGTCCTAGTTTTTCTTACGTTTCAGATGATTTTCAACACCAATATGCAATAATATACGTAGGGCTTGGAAAGTGCCGGTGTGCCAAATATGCACTTAGAACGTATAGCAGTTATTTTAGTGTAGGTGTCCTCATTGCTCAAATTACATTTTTTAAACTCAACGTCAAAGTGTATATAGGCGCACTTCATGTTTTAGAACCTGCTCTATTTATTAGTATTAGCATAGTATTATGACCCCCATTTTAGGGAGCTTGGACATTATCATGCAATTTAGTTAGTTCTGCTGAACCTGATGAACTTTGTTATACCAAAGAATGTACTAAAGTACCACTAGGCCTCTTGCAACAAGAGTAGCCTTTTTCAAAATTAATCAGTTTCCCTAGTGGTGTTTTCTTGTTGATTTCATAGTTTCAACATTTGAATGCCTTCAGTAAAAAAATCCTCTAAAAATCAACTTGTGTACTTAAACCTGTATATATGTAGAGTTTAAACATTCTAGAGCTTATGCGAGGATTTTAAATTACATGCAACAACATTTTTTATGGATTTTCATCAAGATTAATATTAAAAGCGCTTGAATATGGCTCTATATTGTTTGACGTCATTTATCATAATATCTAATATTCTTAAGCATTATTAAAATATATCTTAGATGTAACCGTCTTTGTGAATAAAGTGATGTGTGATAAGCCATAAGATACTTTTTGTTACGTTGTTTTGTTTTTAAGTTTAAATGTTAATTAGTGGAATAAATAAATTCTAGATAATACGGTGTTTTATTTTGGGTTATAATAATGAAAAAACTGAAGCACAGAGACATATTTTTAGCGAAGAATTAATCTAGTATGAAGCCTGCATCTTACAAGTTCAAAAAGCCTAGTTTTGCGGGTTAAGGCAGTGTTTTCGTAAGTGGATTTTATGGAAACCGTACTTCGCACTCACCACGGATAAGCCATTTAGAGACTTTATCCAGAGTCAATACTGGAATGATTTTAATTTTAAATGGCTCTCGTTTCAATATTCGATAAGCGGCTTGTTTCGCTAATTTTATTCCAGATGAAGTTAATCTGCGACTTAGCTCCAGTTTCTTTTAATGCCCTTTCTGACGAGATAAACTGATGATTTATACCAATGGATTGATTTTGATCAAAAAAATGCATTTTGCATTGAATGGTACTGGCGGAATTAACTCGATTTAAAACCGTTTTTATTTTAATGAAGTTGTGACAACTTTTCAAGATTGTGCAAATGTTTAACGTTGAAAAGGCTTCGAATAAAACACTCAAGACCATTATTGCTTTATCGCCCCGCTAACTCTCACCCAACTCCTAGATGGGAGATGGAAATTGAATAAGCCAACTTAGAATGGACGTGACAGTATATTTTTTATCTTTAATTTAGCAGGGAGCTGATAAGTAGCTCTCGCCAAGAAGAGCCCGAGAATATGCGCTTTTGGTCGTAAGATTACGCTTTCGTATCAGTATTTATTATTCATAAGCGGCGGAAAACGAGAAATACTACTATAACGCATGATAAAGGACTTTTAAATGGCGTCCACAGAGATCATCTTCTGGCACATTCCGCTTTTATTGCGTGTTTCTGTTTTTTCACAAGTTTGAATGTTCTTTGGGGAGTGCTCAGCTCAACTCTGGATTAAACCGCACTACGAAGCTAATTTAAACGTTGATAAATTGTGCTTTGTTTGAGCAGAATCTGATAAATTTCGTTTCTGCAGCTGCAAAATTCAATAAACTGACAAGACAGGTATTGTCTAAATCTAGCTTAAACACATCGCTTAAATGTGCTTGAAATTCGTAGCAGAAGAGCCGTAGAAATGTAAAATCATTTAAAAGGCCGTTAGATTTGTACTACATTCGCGCTATCAGAAGAGAGTTTGAAATAGTGTTTGGAATGTCTTTCAGATGTCTCAATTCGCTAGATCAGATACGGGGTGACAATTGGGGAATGCCACAAAGCATTTACGTCAACGCAAGCAAGTTTCCAGTTTGCAGGAAACAACTGGCAGGCGTGATAATCTGTCAGTTTTGTCGTTAGATAATGTTGTCCATTTAAAATGGTCGCCGCTAACCCCTAAAGTTAGACACAGGTCTTATCCCCGTTTAATAATAAGGTATTTCAATTAAAAGATAAGTTTTGGGGTGTAATGTGGCCCAGGCACAAAGGAAGGATCTCCCTGTTTTTAATAAACAGCAGGATACACCGAAACCCCGGACTGTCTGTTCATTTAAATTAAATCAAATTCCTGCTCTTATATCGGTGCACATACAAAAAACAAACTCATAGTTACCGATCGCAAAACTGAGTGGTATAGAAATCGACAGAATCCAGTGGTTTCAATTCACTTAGTCGATTAATTTCTGAAAATTCTTCACATTTACCACTCCTGATTTAAATCCAAATGAATCAGGATGAAAAGGTGCCGCTTACTCACTCACTTGAATTGAAAATTGGTCTCACATCCAGATTTGTAAAATGTGCTCGTGCATCACGGATCGAAAAACATATTTAGAACTCATCAAAAAAGTAATCTTCCAAAAATTCCGTTCATTGGAAAAACTATCAAAAAACCAGGTGAATACTAGAAAACAAGCAACCGTTTACAACGCATTAAACACAAACGTGAATTGTATGAAAGGTGAATTTTTGATCTGATACATTTTGATAGATCATACGATCCCGATCGCAAACCTGAGTGTATAGAAATCGACAGCATCCAGTGGTTTCAATTCACTTAGTCGATTAATTTCTGAAAATTCTTCAGATTTACCACTCCTGATTTAAATCAAAATGAATCAGGATGAAAAGGTGCCTTTTACTCACTCACTTGAATTGAAAATTGGTCTCACATCCAGATTTGTAAAATGTGCTCGTGCATCACGGATCGAAAAACATATTTAGAACTCATCAAAAAAGTAATCTTCCAAAAATTCCGTTCATTGGAAAAACTATCAAAAAACCATGTGAATACTAGAAAACAAACAACAGTTTACAACGCATTAAACATAAACGTGAATTGTATGAAAGGTGATTTTTTGATCTGATACGTTATGATAGATCATACGATCCCGATCGCAAAACTGAGTGTATACAAATCGACAGCATCCAGTGGTTTCAATTCACTTAGTCGATTAATTTCTCAAAATTATTCACATTTACCACTCCTGATTTAAATCATGATGAATCAGGATAAAAATGTGCCTTTTACTCACTCACTTGAATTGAAAATTGGTCTCACATCCAGATTTGTAAAATGTGCTCGTGCATCACGGATCGAAAAACATATTTAGAACTCATCAAAAAAAGTAATCTTCCAAAAATTCCGTTCATTGGAAAAACTATCAAAAAACCAGGTGAATACTAGAAAACAAGCAACCGTTTACAACGCATTAAACATAAACGTGAATTGTATGAAAGGTGATTTTTTGATCTGATACGTTATGATAGATCATACGATTCCGATCGCAAAACTGAGTGTATACAAATCGACAGCATCCAGTGGTTTCAATTCACTTAGTCGATTAATTCCTCAAAACGATTCAGATTTAGCACTCCTGATTTAAATCAAAATGAATCAGGATGAAAATGTGCCGCTTACTCACTCACTTGAATGGAAAATTGGTCTCACATCCAGATTTGCAAAATGTGCTCGGGCATCACGGATCGAAAAACATATTTAGAACTCATCAAAAAAATGCGTTCATTGGAAAAACTATCAAAAAACCATGTGAATACCAGAAAACAAACAACCGTTTACAACGCTTTAAACACAAACGTGAATTGCATGAAAGGTGAATTTTTGATCTGATACATTATGATCTAATCCCGTCATTTGCATGATATCATTTAAGTATAAGAGGAAGTATTTTTGTTCCCCGTGCTACAGATTAATTTGCACTTCCCAAGGTGTTTCCGCCGATTTAAACACTCTGAATGGAGCCGCAACATTGTATATAGAGATGTACGCGTACATTTTCTCTTCTCGGGTAACTGCATGTCGGAATTATCTTCAACCTCTAATATATTTCCAATGCTAAGACACACCGACCCATGTGTCGTTTTACCCACAAATTATAAAGAGGGGTTTTATTTTTATTCGAATGGCTTTATCTCTCACAAATTAAAATCGCAACTCTGAAGGGTTGAAAATTGTATTTTCTACCCTTTGCTAGCAAGTCAATAAAGCGTGTCTAATGAGGCTTTCCGTTGTATTAAATCGCAGTTCAGCCAACAAATAGGCGCGAGTTTTTACAAATAGCAGCCTCCAACTAAGTGAATTTTTCTTATATAAAAACTTATCTACGGACCCATAACATTGGAATAAAGCGTCAACTAGCGTACACCGCAAATCCTGATCAGATTCTTAAAACTCCTGGTTCTGATCCGATTAACTCGTCACGGCACGTCTTCCCAATCTCAGTAATGATAAAAACGGCAATAAAAATTAGGGATAATAGGGTAGAAGAGAGCCGAAAGGCAAAAATTCATTTCCAGCCAACGGATTTCACCGATAACCCGGCGCTGGTATATACCGAGATAAGCAGAATTGAGCGAATAAAATTATAATCGTCACCTGATGACAGAGTTTCAATTTAGCTGAATTTAACGCCAATTTACTGGAACGTCTTTTGTATAATGGAATGGAATAAATCGGTTTTATCGGAATTTATACGGAAAAACTGGTGCTACTTTTTAATCATGTACAATATTACCAGGAATCGTTAAGAACGATTCAAACGTATTTATCAAATGGGCAAGATGCATCTTTATCGGTCAATAGATAGTGGCAAAAAATTAAAACGCTACTTTTCTCCCGTTTAGGGCCCCGACGATGGCTTCAATACAGCCGAAACCTTGGTCCCAGAAAAATGGTGAGTTAATTTTCTACCACTATCCATTAACCGATAATCCCAAGGAATTTTTCCACCAACAACCTAGACATCAATTAGGTATACAGGGTGTTCGGAAAATGCGTCAGGAAATTTTCACGGGCGATACTACACGCTGAAATAATGGTATTAGGTCTTGTAAAAATTATTCAAAATCTAAATATTTTTCGAGTTACAGCTCATAAAAATTATTTTTTTTTAATTTTGAAATATTCTGAACATTTCATAGCGGACCAAATAATCGAGTAGCGATCTCTAATTTTCTGATCAAAAATTGCTTTTTCATTTTGCCACTAGATGAGAGTTTATGTGAAAAACCAATTTCATTTTCCGTATATCTTTTTTTGGACACCAAATATCGCAAAAAGTTATATGCGATTTTAAAAATGCTCTTCACGCGACTCAAAAAACCTCCTCGTTTAAGAGCAAATTGACATCAAAGTTTTTATCACTCTCAACCCAGTGTCTTGCCTAAAATGTGCCAAATTTGACAATTTGTAGTAATTATTGTATTACTGTTCAATTTAGACTAATTTTTTTGCATTTGAATGCAAGTTTAGAATATTATCGATTAATTTTAATTTAGTGGGTTTAGAGCACAAAACTTTAGCCTAAATTGAAAGTAATACAATAATTACTATAGACTGTGAAATTTGGCACATTTTAAGACCAGACGACTTGATTTGCTGCGATTCTAGTTAAATTTAAATAATAAAAATGAAATAAAATTAAAAAAGTAATAAAACTTTATTGTCGATTTGCTCCTAAACGAAGATGTTTTTCGAG